TTTCCTGTCCCTAAAGGACAGGTCAATATGAGTGATCTTTTTAATAAGAGTAACAATAATGATAACAAATACTTATTGAGCATTTATTATTGCTACGCTCTTCATACACTTCATCTCACTTATATCCTACAAGACCCATAGCACAGGTACTTTTATTATCATCATTTCCATTTTACAGGTGAGAAAAGCTGAGGTCCAAGAGATTGAATAACTTCTACACGGACGCCTTGCTAGTAAGTGGAAGAGATGGGACTCCATCCTAGCGATGTTCACAGACCAGGCAGAGGGTCAGATATTACCACCTTTCACACTTGTTCTGTAGGGACCGGGTCGCTGAACAGGTGAGCTGGCACTACGCGGGAGGCTGCACACCATGACTAGGGTACCCTGCCCCTAAATCCTTGCCGGGATTCCAGTCCACGGCCCAGCCCTTCGCCCCGCCCCATCCCCTACAGCCCCGCCCCTTACCCTGGTCCTTTCCCTGCCCACAAGCCCGCCTCTAGCCCCGCCCCATCCTCAGATGCCCCTCCCTTCGCCCCGCCCCAGCCCTGCTGGCTGCCCCGCCCCGCCGCGCGCTCCTTGACGCCTAGGGAGCTGAACACCTCGGACCCTACGCGCGGAACCGGCGACTCCTCCTCCAGCCCTTGCTCGGGTGCTTTCGCCTCAGATCCCGCACAGGAAGTAGGAGGCCGTGCGGGACCACGGGCAGGAGGCGGGCTGGGACGCGGGGGCCGCGGCCACCCCCATCTACCCCCCGTGCCCCGCCGGGCTCTTCACTGGCACGAGCCCTGAGGGACCCCGCCTGAGGCGAGGAAACGGGCGCTTGCGGGCGCCCTTCCGCCTCAGTGTCTTCTTTGAGCATCCGGCCTTCAACTCTGAGGAGCCCTGTGTGGAGGGAGCCCTAGGCGTCCGCGCCCTTGGAGCCCGCCGTTCTCCTCACAGCCCTGGACCCACCCCTCACCCCAGCACCTTCCATTCCTCGTTCCTCCCCCCCTCCCCCCGCCCGAGGGAGCGCGCCCTTCGGCTGCCCCGCTCCCTCTTCTCGGGCGTTCGATTTCTGCCCCTTCGCTCGGCGCCCTCACCCGTCCTCACCCGCGACCCTTTCCAAGAATTAAGTCCACTCCCTGGCAACCTGTTCCATGTACAGTCCTTAGCTTTACTTTGTATGAAGTAAATACAACCTAGAAATAACTCACAGGATGTGGGGGCTTCTTGTGGGGCTCAAGAAAATCAAGGTCTCGGAATATTAAATCGCGGGGTGCTTTTTTTTTTTTACTGCTTAAAGTACGTTAATAGTCATACACCAGGGAGCAATTAAAAAAGATCAGTTGGAATTTATTCCAAGATACCAAAGATAGACTGGAAAGGACGAAAGTGGAGCCAAGGCAGGCACAGGACGTACACGTTAGAATCTCTAGCCGTCCCACTGGGGAATGTGATTTAATAGATTGCATAACATTTATTTTGGGCCCAATGGTTTGATTCTTGGGATGGAAATGGGCATTGATCAAAGTTCACCTAAATTTTTAATTCTGTGGCTGATTCTGTATTCATTTTGATTCAGTTTTCTCTTTTATCAGAACTTTAAGTAGAAAAGCCAAAAGAAGCTTCTCCAGCGGCAGTTAAAGATTATTTATATGTAAGCAATCATTTGATTCTTCTTTAGAAGTCAGCAAAGCGTTATGACATCTCTGCTTAATAATGGATCCTTATGATGTTATTAAAAATAGTTACAATTTGTAGAAATGTGCATAAAATTTTTACCTTCAAGTGAAGATTTTCTTTTACCATTCTTATTTCAAAAAGTTTTGATTCTTTTTTTCTTCCCTTCTCATTCTTTTCCTGTTGTTTCTTATTTTCTTAATTTTTCCACTTTATGGTCCTTTGGCGTTCCATTATTTTAACGGGACAAATTAATATATTGTTGAATAAACCATAGCATCTTAAAGAGAACAAAGAAATTCAACACCTGGATATAAATCAATGATTCAACACTTCCCAGATTCTTAAGTTTTAGAAAAGTGGTGACCTGTGTTTACTTTTCTTAGTTTTGTCTACCATTTCTTGTTCTATTGTTTTTAAAATCTATTTCCTTCTCCTGTTTTTTTCTCAGCCTTCCTCTTCTATTTATTTGAATATATTAGGAAAACTCAAATCCTCTGTGAGATATCATATGTAAAATGTAAGAAGGAATCAGGATTAGAATACATGTGGTTCACAATCTAATAGAACTCTGTCATTAGTATATAGTTTTGTATTTTAAATAAGTTTCTTTTTGCAAGAAAATAGTTTGAATTGAATAATACATTGAATTAAAAGATACTCTGAGTGTTATAGAATTACTGAAAAATGTTTTTGCTTGTTGTAAAATAACACTGAAAGATTTTTATATCAAAATTTGAATATCTTTTGATGTTCTCTCTAGTTCATTAAATACTGCTAAGGAATACAGGCAACATGTTCTACACACATGTGCTTATGAGTAAGCGAGGGCCATTGGCCAAAATCTGGCTTGCAGCTCACTGGGAGAAGAAACTCAAAAAGGCCCATGTATTTGAATGTAATCTAGAGATAACCATTGAAAAAATTCTTTCACCTAAGGTATGTTATTGATTTAAATTATAGTATGTATTTGCCGTGACTTATGGAGAAGAAATATATATATAAAATACATTATATCATAAAATATATTTCCAAAGAAGTTTTACTTCTCAAATGGTCTTCTCTCTTTTAATCCCTGTAACATTTATTGTCTGAACATGAATATATATTGGTTTCTGTTGGTAACTGTTTTATATGTTTATCATAAATAGATTGGATCCTGAAGGATAAAGACTACATTTTATACATATTTTGTGATTGTTATTCTCTAATAAAATCAATATACATAGTAGGTACCAAATGAGTATTTCTTAAAAAAAAAAACAAGAAAATGAATAAGAGAGTGGAAAGAAAGGAAGATTGTGTATAAATCAAAATATATATGAATACATTTCATAAATAATAAAGTACTATGTTCATTTTAAAACACTATAACAGGCTTTTAGAATTTGCATTAAGATATTTTATTATTTTTATGGGTTAAGTATTTTTCTTCATGAGAGAAGGACAAATTTTAATTGAAAACTTACCGTGTGTTAGGCACTGGGCTAGGCTTTATGTTCATTAGTTTACTTAATCGTCATAATAACCCTATGAGATAAGTTTCTTTTAGCCTCAGTGAAGTGTGGTAAATTAAGAACATGAAATTTGAAGTTGGTCAAATTTAAACTTAATTCCTGCTCCATCAATTAATAGTTCTGTTACTTTGAGCATACTGCTTATCATGTCTAAGTCTTAGTTTTTTCTTCTGTAAATAGAGGTTGTTGTCAAGTTAAATAAATTAATGTATGAAAAGCTCTTAGGACAATGCCTGGCACAAAATAAGTATCCAATAAATTGTAGCCTTTATTAACAAATTGAAGTTCGGGAAGGTTAAATGACTCAGCCTCAGCAACTAAGCCAAGGCTTGAACCCAAGTCAGCCTGACTGCAAAGTTTAAACTCTTCCCATAAAACCAATAATAGCATATTTCACTTAAATGCTGCATTAGATTATCTTCACTGAATAAAAAGTTAATCATTTAACAAGGTCAGATAAAAGGTAAGTGATTCACTTTAAATAAGAATACAAAATGTCTGCTTTTTAAAAAGAAGAGATTCTTACGAGTTTTGTAATTTTCAAAGAACAAGGTTTCTGAATCAAATTTTTAAGATTCTCATATTTTAAAAATTATTGAAAGGTGAAAATTGCACTTCGAACTTCAGGACACCTTCTTCTGGGAGTTGTTAGAATCTATAATCGGAAGGCAAAGTATCTTTTGGCTGATTGCAGTGAAGCGTTGCTTAAAATGAAGATGGCATTTCGCCCAGGTATATGTGCAATGCTGATTTTTCTTATTTGTCTTTGTTCCCTTTTGCATTTTTATTTTGGGTGGGCCCTTTTAACTGGTGGCACTCTGTAATTCCAGGGTGAGTATAATGAATGTAAACTTTCCTTTGACTGAATCTAAGTTTCCATGGTTAAGAACAAATTGAATTATCTTCCTTGCTCTTTTCCTGTGTTGCAAGAAGAGACACTGCTTTCAAAAATTTATAATGTTCCTGCATAAATACATAAGAAATACACTTAAAGCTACCACACTTGTGTAAGAAATTCTGATATTCAGTTTTAATGGATCACTTAGTTTGCCATATCTGTTTCTGCGTTTATGAGACAAATTAGAAATAGTGTGATTGACAAAACTCAATATCAATAATTGCCATTATTCTCAGAATTTTCGAGACTCTAAGAGCATGCTATTTATGAAATATTATAGAAAATCTCTAGACATTCCAAAGTGCTAGGGATTTACATGTGTCATAAATAGAATGCCTTCAAGTTTTAATTTAATTTTAATTTTAAAATATTCATCATTTTTCATCTAGTATTATGTTTATCTAGGTACAGGCCTTGCCTCTCACACTAGTCTGCAAGCTCTTTGAAGACAACATCTGTGTCATATTTATTTTCTGTATCTCTTATAGTGCTTGTCTCAGTGCCTCGCACATTATTATTCCCTCAGTTAATATTGTTGAATTAGGATTGACAAGGTTTCTTTTTCTTTATTTAAAATATAGAATCTTTAGGTAGATTTATGATCATATCAAATATGATTCAACAAAATAATTTTTTTCATTATTTCATTTATATATTCCATAAATATTATTGATCCCATACTTTGTATGAAACACTATATTAGGCTCTGGGCTACAAGGACAAATAAGGTCCTTTTTGGTCTGGTGAGGAAATCAGATAATGAAAAAGATTTTTTTTTAATTATTATAATTGTAGATTGTGCTATGAAGGAATATAAAAAGAGTACTACAACAGAAAATAACAGAGAAGTGTATTTTAGTTATGCTAGTTGGGAAAAACCTTTCTGAGAGGATAGAATTTAAGCTCAAACTTAAGAAATGAGAAGTATCCAGCCGTGTGAGAAGTCCCTGAGGGAGTAGCATTCTGGGCAGAGGGAACTGCAAGAGCAAAAGTCTTGGGGTATTAAAGTTGCTTGACTCATTCAGAGAGCAAAAAGGCCAGTAGGCTTGGAGTATAGTGAGTGAGGGAAAGAGTGTCGTTAGATAATGTGATAGGTTTTGTAGGGCTGCAAAGGCCCTGATTAGAAATTTGGATTTTATTTAAGTGCACTAGGGAAGTCACTGAATCATTTTAAGTGATCTGATCTAATTGCATATTTAAAATATCACTCTGGCTGTTTTGAAGAGAATGGACAGAAGAGGGGCAGGGGTGGGTACAGGGAAACTAGGTAGGAGAAAGTAGAGATTTGGTTGGGAGTTTATTTTATACGCTTATTGAATATGTTTTTTTTTTAATTCTTTTAAGGACTGGTTGATCTTCCAAAAGAGAATTTTGAAGCAGCTTACAATGCTATCACACTGCCAGAAGAGTTTCATGATTTTGACATCCAGAATGTGAGGTAAATTATTTTATTTACTTTCCTTCAATTTGATTTTCTTGATATTTTATTATTTGCATCTTCAGATTTCATGGACGCAATTGGAATGTAGTTAACAACATGAAATACACATGCAGTTGAAAAAGATTTAAATTTAGCATGAAATTTCAAAGTATAACACCAAAAATGTATCGTTATGTTTGCTGAATATATTTTGCAATAGTGACAGTATATTCATTCATTCAGTAGTTGCTGGCTGCCTTCCAGGCCAGGCCCTGTTCTAGGCACTGAGGAGATAGCAATGAATAAAACGCAGATCTTGGCTGCATGAGTATTACATTTTAGTCGGGAGATAAACAAATAAACAAGTAAATACACAATATGCTAGGAGATGAGCAGCATTATAAAGAGAAATAGAAAATAAAATAATAAAAAGATCAGGAAAAGCTTTTTTTCTAAGGTTTGAACAGAAATCTGAAGGAGGTGCTTCAGTTATGTGGGGAAGAATGTTCTAGGTACAGCAAATGGAAAAGTCCCAAGGCAGAGTACACTGGGCATGTTCAAGGAACAGCAGGGAAGCAAGTGAGACTGAGTGGAGTAAATGAAGGGCCCAATGGTAGGAGATGGGGTCAGAGAAGTAGCTGGGGGTGCAAATGATGGAGGGTGTCATAGGCTGTAGTAAGGCCTTTTACTCAGACAGGGTGTACAGGAGGGTTTTGAGTAGGAAAGTGACCAGTTCTGACTTGACTTCAACATGCCTCCTCTAGCTACTTACTTTAAGAGGGAAAGGGAGGAAGCAGAGAGCCTGTGAGAAGATTATTGCAGTAAGAAGTCCAGGTGAGAGATGACAGTGTCTGTGATCAGTTCTCAATCTTCATTTTATCAAGGTGGTAGCAGTCAAATTATGAATATATGTTGAAGGCAGAGCTGACAGAATTTGCTAAAGGATTAAGTATGGCTTTAAGAGAGAGAAGTGAAGGTTGACTGATTTTTTGGCATGAGAATGGAGTTACCATTTAATGAGATTAGGTTAACTAGACAATGACAGGTTTAAAGAGGGCAGAGTAAAGGAAGTAAACTAGGTTTTGAACATAAATTTTGAGATGACTATTACACATCCAGGGGGAGTCAGTAGGTAATTGAATATCTGGGTCTGAAATTCAGGAAAGATCTTTGATGGGATATATATAAATTTGAGAGTTGTAAATATATAGATAGAACTTCAAACTTGAATCATAAGGATCCCTGAGGAAGTGAGTTTAGATTTTAAAGAGAGGGAGAGAGAGCAAGAGTGAGAGAGAGGAAATGAGAGAGAGAGATCTGAGGATTGAATGTTAGTTCATTCCTAATAGTTAATAGTCTGGGAAATGAGGAAGAACTAATAAAGGAGATGGAAAAGGAGCAGACAGTGAGGTAGGAGGAAAATCAAGAGACAGTAATGTCGCAGAGACCAAGAGGAGAACATGTTCCTTGAGGCAGGAGTGAACATCTATTTCAAATGCTGTTAATTACGGTAAGTAAGGTAGAGACTGAGAATTGTCCATTGGATTTGGCAGCCTGGAGAACATTTATACATATATATACACACATATATACATATACATATATACTAGTATTTATAAGTAATACTATTTAGAAGAAATAAAATTATTTTATTTTTATAATAAATCCTGTTGTTTAAGGATTTTTGTTTGTTTTGCTTTGCAGTGGACTGCAAAATCATTGTGTTTGTTCACGTGTTTTCTTTACCCTTCTATTTCTCTGTAGTGCTATTGATGTTTCAGAACACTTTGCTCAGAACCAAAGCAAACCAGAAGAAATCACACTTAGAGAAGATTATGGCAATGGTCCTCTTTACCAAGCTGGGAGCTTTGGTGAGAATATTTGAGAAATTAAAATTACAGGTCATAATCAATTATATTTGCATTTTTGTATTGAAACAATTCCAGTGGGAATAGCCATTTCTATGCCAGTAGAAATGTCTTTTAGAATGAATTTTTTGATGTATAAATGTAACCCCCCAATAAGTTTGTCCTTGCCTTTTTCTACTATAGGTGTCAATGCCAAGACTCAGTCTTGGCCTATATTTCCCTTCTCAGTGTACAACCATTTATTGAATATTTAGTATGTGTCAGGTGCTGTCGCAGGTACGGGGAATACAAAGTTTAAAGAAGCATTTCCTACCCTCAAGGGAATGCTTCAGGCTGGGGAGAGATATGCAAATAAACAGTTGCTCTAGTTAATATATATACAAGGTTTTACACATGTACTACATATAGAGCCTTCAAAATGTATTCCCTCTAAATATGATACCAATTATAAAATAACAGATTTTAAAATAGCTTAGGGGTGAGGGGAAAATACGCACTAAATACACATTTATTGGGAAATAGAAACTGTTCAATGTATTTTAGAATTGAAGCTATATGGTACAATTTAACTATACAGTATTTGTTCCTTTTTTATGGCATTTACCACTCTCTGTCTTATATCATGATGCACCTGGAAGATGTGAATATATTTTTAGTTCTTTTGAAAAAGTTAATCTTTTCTGTTAAGCAAATCTTTAGTCCAGTGTGATGAAGGTTGCCTTTTTTTTTAGCTCTTTCTTTCTAGAATATATGGGCCTATAGAAGAATTTCCAATGAGTGGTACTTCATGATTTTTTTTTCCTGGCTAGCACTAACATGGGTTGTTAGAGGGAGGGAAGACAGGATTAACTTCTGACTCCTGGGGTTTCAGACTTCTGAACCCAGAGATTGGAACCCAAGGAAGGGAAAGAATACATATGTGCTGACAGCCAATCTGGAAGCAGGTCAGTTTGAAGCAGGGAGTTCATTTTATCTGCTACTATCAGTGTCTTAGGAGTTTTCTGTCATAAGTCTCCATTTTGCCAAAATTCTAACACATACTAAGGCTGTCGCTGCTGGGTTCAGATCGTGGCTCCGTCATTTATTACGGTGTGACTGTGTGCAAGATATGAAACCTTTCTGTGGATGTTTCCTCATCTCTACAATGAGAATTATAATAATCTCTTCTACTACATAGTATAATGCCCATAATAAGCACTCAGTTTATGTTACTTACCTTTCTTTTACTGCTGTATCTCCAACCCCTAGCATATTGCCTAATACCTGGTCATTCAGTAAATATTTATTGAACGAATGTTGTAAGCCTATTCTTTAATATTTTACCTATCTTTCGAATATTAAAAAGGCAGACATGCTTCTTATTTTTCAAACCCTCATTATGGACAAACAACTCAAGCAATCGTCCTTGAAATAATATGAAATAATACTTGGTCAAGCAGGATATGACCCACCTAAAGTGGAAGAAATCATTCCACTGCCAATAATAACCTTCTGGGAAGTTATTCATGACAAACTCTATCCTGATATTTTGGCAATTTTTCCTCATTGTATTGAAAAAAGTGTTAGACTGATAATCCAGTCTCCATTGATTAACAGATTGACTTTAGTTGAATAATCCAAATTCATTTTTTGGAGAAGCTTTACAAGATGATATCTAAATTCTACCTTCTAACCCTATAATTCTGTATTTCTATGACTAACTCAATATTAATGATTGTATTTATTTAGGGGAGGAACCTGAAATTCTCAGAAGACATAGCTTCTTTGATGACAACATATTGCTGAATTCCAGTGGTCCTTTACTTGAACATAGTTCTGGAAGCCTTAATGGAGAAAAATCTCTGTTTTGTGACAGTAGAGATGGATTTGGAGATGAAGGGGCTGCGGGAGAAATGATTGGTATGTTATCTGGTCATATAGAAATTGGATATTTATTCAATCAAAGTACTATAATATACTAGTAGTTTTATTCAATCAAACTAAAATTTCAAATATGCTTCTGTGTTATATAGATCAACACATTTTTTACATGAGTTTTCAAAGTCTGTAAGATATTTAAACATTTAGGTGAGGTCTAAGTAAATCGCCATGTGTTTAAACATATTTTCCATGTAGGCTGTGAAATATTTCTTGTTTTTATTTTCACAAATTCCTAGTTTTTAGAGGTGAAGGAGTGAGGTTAGTATATTCCTCACAAAATATACTAGATCATAGATTAGAAAACATAGTTTTCTTTAACAGAAATTGTTGGACAACTATTCTAAAGGATCTGTCCAGCATTTTATATTATTATTATATATTTATGTTATTATTATAAAGTCCTCATAGAAATAAGGTAGACAAAAACTGGGAAATCCAAATGTACACAATTTTAAAGATAATTTTAAAGAGACATCAAATCTTTTCTTAATTCTCTAGTTTACAGTAAAAGGCTGTGTATGGCAAACTTTTTGAAATTTGGAAACTATGAAAAACTCTACCTTCGATCTCTACCAAAGGAGTTGGAAAACTTTTACTTCTTTTTTTTTTTAGGTTTTATTTTATTTTATTTTATTTTTGTTGGGGGGGATTTGGTTTATTTATTTATTTTAATGGAGGTATGGGGAGGGGTTGAACCCAGGACCTTGTGCATACTAAGCACACGTTCTATGACTAAGTTATACCCTCCCCTTTGCTTTTTGATTTGAAATCTAAACGTGGCTTGTAACAAGGCTACTATCTTAGTTTAGGGAGTATTTCCTGAAATTAAACATTTAAAAATAGATTTTTAATAAAGGAAGTTAAATATATAAAATTCTATGTTACAGTGCATAAATGTGGTAGTCTATATAACCAATTAAATCTAATTAAATAGGGTTCACTCATTTTTATATCCCTTCACAGTTCCTTGTATACAATAATGTCAAGTGTTTAGTGAACAAATGACCGATTCAGCTCTGTATAAAAAGTGTTTATTGTGTTTTTCAAGACAATCTATTGCAAGATGATCAGAATAGCCTGTTAGAAGACCTGCATTTAAATAAAGAAATTTCCCTGCCTCCTGAGCCTCCCAGTACTATTGTGGGTATGTTGGAATTTTCCTTTATATAGAAAGTGAACAGATACTAATATTCAAATTAAGCCTTAAAACTCCTGAGTTTAAGTAGTAGTATAGTATAGTGAAAGACAATATTGTTGTCCTTCAAACTCTTATCTAACTCTAGATACTATAGAATAGAAAGCTAGGTTCTGAGAAAGCTACAATGATGGGTATTTAACCAGGATTTGGTTTATTTATTATGAGAGCACATTTAAATACTCTACCAAAATATCCTGCTTTTGAGTCATTGAAATAATATATGTTACATGGTAAAAGCATCATTAATGTTTGACATTAACATTGTTATTAATTATTAATATTAATACCACATTAATTTTAACATGACTTGACAATCTATGTACAATTTGTGAGAAATTACCAGTATGGGGATATTTTCTACTTGAAATTCGTGTGACAGTACCTCAGATATTTGAAATCTTTCAATCTGATTTTTCTTAAGAATTAAAAGTATGATTAGCCTCATTTTGATTTTTTACTCTTTTTGATGTTATATTTGCTTTCTAATACAATAGTAGAAATTTAATATATAAAAAAGATAGGCAATCAAAATTAGGTATGATTCTATATGGGTCAACTAATCATTAACAGAATACAAATTTTTAGCAGACATATAGTCAAATTTATGTCAGTCATTTATTGTGGTTGTTACAACTGTTTTCACTTCTGCTGTGACTGTAGTCCAACCTTAGATGTCACAGGTGCAAAAGAGGGTGATAATACTTGACTCACCTGGACTCTGTGGGTCCCAGACCATATAATCCCTGAGCTTCTTCAACTCTATTTAATATGTGATTCTGAGAATTCAGATGTGGCTCCAGTTAGCAACATAAATCTACAATTAGTTCATCTTTCACTTTAATTCTCATATACTCCTCTAACTTGCAACATAACCATTTTTTTATAAATCCTTTTATGGCAATGTTGATTAGTACAACCAGAAAATCCAGAGTGTATATGTCCACCTGAAAGTGAAAAAATGAATGAAATCGCATTATCAAATGAAGAGGAAGGATTTACCCTTGATCCAATTGATATTTCAGGTCAGAATCATTCATGTTTTTATTTTTAGTTTTGATGTACTATATTATCTTATTTACTCCTAGATATTTGAATAATTCTTGAAATATTATAGGAGGTAGTCAATCTAGTAATAACATTTATAATACAATTAAGGAAAGAATGTGAAAGAAATTTGAGATAATCCTTTCATTATATTCAGTCCTGGTCGAACCATCTATCCAGGTTGGGAAACTGGAAAATTAAAGTTGAGTTCACTTCCAGTAGTTATCGAGCCATTCATTATTCTGTATTGGGCACAGAAATGAAGAAGATGTAGCTCCTGCTTTTAAGAAGCTTACAATCAGATCAGGAAGATAAACATGCAAATGAGTATAAGATATGACAGAATAAAAGGATTAGAAGAGACGCACTGAATATGAATCTAATATATAGCTAGACCTTATAAGAACCTCCCAGTTTTAAGTAGTATAATTGATATGCATTTCAGTTTATAAACTCAAGCAATGCAAAGAACAAAGCACTCAAGTTTTTTTTCTTTACCAAGTTCAACTCTGAGCTTCTGTCCCACTTGGTTGGCAGGATATGCAGTCTGCATAGCTCCCCTGTCTGCCCTGAGCCGTGTAGTATCAAAGTTTGGGGGATGGGTGTGGCAGGTGGAAGGGAACCTCTAGTCATCAGCCACTTCAGTTTGTGGTACCCCCCCATCCCAGCCTACATAGCCTCTGGGGTCATCACACAACCAGTCCCTCTGGGATCTTGTCATGTTCCCAGAATTTTACTGAGGCACGTCAGCAAGGAGGTTCTTGCTCCTTCTGGCTCCATCTGATGTGAGATCTTCACCTGTTCCAGGAAATCTAACCCTCTCATCCCTTTTGCATCTTTACCAAGGAAAAGCTTGACTTCTGCTTTTTTCCTGGCAAAATTACTTAAAGGAGTGAGATCCCATGGACCTAGCTACCTACTTGGATTTTGTGTATGCATTTTCAGTGGGGGAAGGAAAATACCCTGGACAAATACAAATTAATGTTTCAAAAGGTTATCCTATTAGGTAGCTATTTTAAAGAACCTCAGAATTGAGTGACTTCCCTCTCAATATACTCTCCACTCCACATTTCTCAGTTGTCCACTTAGTAGGTCAACAGGGCCTCTTCTAAGCACCTTTGAGCAACACTTTACAAAATGTGTCAAGTCTTGGCAGCTCAGACACTCTAGCTGTGCAAAAACCTTATAAAGCATAATTTTCAGTAGAGAGAAGGGGATTTTCTTCCCAAGGCAACTCTGTAAGTTGTATTGTGGTAGACATTTCTTAGATATGCAGTGCCTAGAATGCCGCTTTACAGAGCTATACAATCAATCACACTTGTACTTATTTCTTATGTTTAGATATTGCTGGAAAAAGAAAAGATAAAAAGAGGAAATTGCTCATAGATCCAGTCAAGGAGATCAGTAGCAAAATTATGCATAAACAGCTTACTTCCTTTACGGACACACTCATGGTTTTGGAACTTGCACCTCCTACCCGAAGACTGATGATGTGGAAGAAAAGGGGAGGAGTGGATACACTTCTGTCAACTGCTGCCCAGGATTTGACTCATGCTGAACTGAAAATGGTAATCGTTTCCATTGTTTTACATGGGTGCGATGTTTGGCTGTAAATAAATAAATGTATATTTATATTCATATATACAACAGAATTTAAACTTGTGAAAAATACCTCCTTACTTTGGAATTAATTTGCTGGATGTGTGTGCATTGATTATAGTTTTTACTTTTTAGCATATGTGCTTGCATTTTGTTGAATTCCTTTACTTACACAAAAATGAGAAACAAAAATGTATATTTTTACAGTTGTTTACAAAATGCTTTCTGTCCTCTGGCTTTAAACTTGGAAGAAAATTGATG